TTACTGCTGAAGCTGTATGTGAATTCCTCATTAGAATCTTCAACCGAGAATGGTATCCAAAGGTGATTGTTTCTGATCATGGCCCATAGTTTGAATCCCGCATATTCCAGGAGTTCCTGAAGTCCAGAGGGATTTACCACCATCGGTCTCCGACATACCATCCACAAGCCAATGGTCAGGTTGAGCGCTTCAACCGAGTGCTTAAGCAGTACGTCCAAACTATCCTGCAGGAACAAACCAACGTTCGTACAGGCCTTGAGTTTCCGGGTGTCTACCGAAGTACACCACATGCAGCGACGAAGCTCTCCCCCGCTGAGCTCATCCACGGACGTAAAATGCATACCCGTATGGACATCTTAGGCTTCCCAAGTTTTGACGAGCCCGTTCACATCGAGATGCAGCAACTCCGCCAATGCATTGCTGATTACCAGAAGCACAGCAAGCAATACACAGATGATAGGCAAAGAGCCAAACCATTTACAGCGGGTGTAGGAGATTATGTCTGAGATTATGACCGAAGGGAACACCATCATTTGACCCCTCTGAAAGAATTCACGAAGCTGTGGGGCCAAGCACCTTCTCTGCTTATTCTTCCATCTCTTTTACCTCTATCCCCCATAGATTGGTTGATCCTTTCTTTTTACCTTCCCTCCACAATCTTTCATTTATTAATCATATTTCACACAAAGACCACCATCTCCTTCTCATTAAAATTTGCTGATGAAACCTTAAATTTTGTATGATTATTCAGAAAAAATTATGTATGAAAGGGCAAAGCCTGAGTCAGTCGAGCTGGAGTCCTATGCGAGGCTAGGGTAGCTTATGTGTCTGTGCAAGGGAATGATCGATTGAACTGGTGAGTATGGGATAGCTGGAGATGACTTCCTGAATGTAATTATTGTTTCAGAGGTTAGATAGTACTGAATTGTGGCGATTATTAATTATTAAAGGAACTCTCCAAGTGTAGGAACTATTAAACAGGCAAGAAATAAAAAGAAAGCATTATTCTAGTACATCGTTACTTATGCAACTTTACATTTTAACATTTGAAGTGTTCCTCCACCACAAAGTTTTATTATTATTACTGTTTTATATTGATTTAATCATTCAAATCTATACCACCATGTGTTTTCTTTTACATACACATTGTATGCTGAGTACAGAGTTTTGGCTGAAGCTAAGACGTGTTTTGTACACCATTTATTTGTACTAACCTTATAATTGGGAGGAAACATGTGCTTCATCACAATAGCAACATTGCTGAAGTAGAGGTTTCAAGGAACAAATACAATTAACTTGGAAGTCTGCTTGCCAGTGGAAGGACATTTTTCTATGACATCTGTGAAAAGCCCACAAGCGTGCTTCTAATTAAAAACGCACGCTATCCAGAATAGCGCGACCCGCAAAAGCGGTTCTTCCTACGAGAATGTGCCTTGTGGAACAGTTTGAAACTCAGAAAAGAGCTTGTACCCTGGAAGGAGGGTTTCCCCCTTCTATTTGCTGTACGGCGGGAAAGCGGCGGACCAAGTAACTCGCAAGTGCGCTTCCCCTTGCACGTATTTTCCTTGTGGGAAAGCGCAGAACCAGCAAATGTACTTGTCAGTTGCAGTAAGATGGGAAAGCAGTAGACCTAACGTTCCATAAGCGTGCTCACCGAGTTTTGCAGGAAAGCAAAAAACCCGCAAGTGTGCTTCACCTTACGAAGTTGTGTACTGCGGAAAAGCGACCTAGAAATACTTCTTCATTATCTACATTTATTGCAAGAAATCCATGCGCGAATCTCATCCTCCGAAGAGCACTTATGGCAATAGGCCACATTGATTGACTGAACATGACTTTACAACTAACCAAATTACAGATTTCTCACTGCCGAAATTAAAAAAAGAAAAAATCATTGATTAGATTTAAACTGTTTTCTCAAAATAATTTTTTGAGAGAAATATAATTTCTCTGAAAATAATAAATACACTAGAATATGCAAGATCAACCAGAGACATATACTTTAGTCTGTCTGCCTGATTCTATACCTTTCTCTGCTGGTATTTGAGTTTGTATGCTTGTTCACGCACGCAGTTCTTTTGTTGACTCTATCCTTTCCCTTGTTTTGCTATACCTGAAGAACGAGCTGAAAAGTAGAGAGAGCGTTCAATCCTACAATTTACTTGTGCCTCGAAGAAGTCTTATATTTGCTCGTTATCCCCATATCAATATTACTTGATAATTATTTTACATGGAATGAAAATATAAATACACCTGAAAACAATAAAATAGTTGAGGTTCCAGTGGTAAAATTAATGTTTTTTTTTAATATATCAAAATGTTTGATTTGAAACATCGGTATTCAAATCATACTTGGGTAGTCATTTAATTACAGTAATTAAATTACTGTAATTTAATTACTTTTCTGGTAATTTGTAATTCATCACTTCCTGCTAAAGGGAGCTGCAATTGTACTTTATTTGCTTTTTAGCATCAGTAATTACAAACTTTGAGGCACAATTACAACTACTTTTGCAAGGATTTCCGGTGCCAACCGGAAATCCTTGCATCATCAACACTGATGATGACATCAGTGACGTCACTGATGACGTCACCGACATTAGCATTGTCATCATCACTGATGATGTCATCAGCAAAGTAATTTGTAATTGCAATGAGTTATTTCTCAGGTAGTACTAATTGTAACTGTAGTTAAACTACTTTTGGAGCAAAGTAATTGTAATTAAATTACATTTTAAAAGTAATTTACCTGTATGATTAAAGTTGTGGTCTAAATCATGATTTCGATTTAAATCAACTTGATTTTTATCCTCCACCCTGTGTATATGTGTGTCAGTGCATGACCACTGCCAATCATTTCATTTGCAGCATGCGACATTGAGCCCTCAATTCTTTATACGAGGGCAATGGGGGATGGCCAAGGGATGAAGATGGGCTGAACAATTTTTTTCCAACATTTTGTTGATATACTATTAGATAACTTTGCATCCTGCAGGTGAAATTCGGTACGGTCTGCTTTTCTGGAATCGATCGGATGGACACTGAATCTATAAGTCGATTGAATCAGGATGTCCCATGCAGGAACCAAACTGTTTAATTTTTTTATAGCTAACTTACTAATATTGTAATATTGCTGCTTTTATGCTTCAAGTGTGTAGATAAGTGGGTAGCACAAATGCTCAGAAAGAGTGGCAATGTCATGTTCTTTATATAGTTGATTATAGTGGAGACAAGAGCTTCTGGAAAAGTATTTGCGACTCTGTGTAGGTGTCAATCAGGCAAAGGCAAACGCTGCCTTGTACCGCAGAGACACAAGGAATTATCTTACACCACTTTTCTTTGCAAATAATGATTTGGCAGCGCTACAGCGATAGTAGATAGTGCTGGCAAAAAAGGGCTGTCATTTGTGGCCCTCGAATTAGGAGGGTCAGCAACAGGTTTATAATAATAATCATCTTTATTTTGGTGTCATCAGTCTTTATCTTGGATGCCCCGTGGTGCACCAAAACAAACAATAAAACCAGCAAACAAAAAAAATCCTAAACACACTTATAAAGTTAACAAACAAATAAATGTAAGATTATCCAAATGGCGACGGTACATTGCAACAGATGCAGATATATAAAGGCGAGGTGGAGCGATGGCATCATATGACTGAATCCGAGAGACGTGAGGTATTCACAGTGAGCACACATAAAAGCATACGAAATGTCTGGTTACACATGAAGGAACATGAAACAGTTCTGCTCTAGTTTGCCTGTAGTTGTTTAGAAAGGCATCGGTGGACGTCTTCACAGACTCCTTCTTTAAATAGGGTGGACATGCCTGCAAGAAGCAGTAACATCATTCCACATCGCATAGGCTGTAGCTATTTGCTATTACCCATGTGCAATAGGTGTTCGTTGCCCGTAGTAATTACTCTGCATGTGATGTGCAGGAATTTGTGGCTCCCGTGTCGACCAAGGCAATGAATTTGTGAGCCAAATATTAATGTCTTATTATTGCCACTCCCAATAAAAGGAATTTCCTTGCATCTTGTGGAAGTGGTACCTGGGCTCCGGATCATTTGTTTCCTGCAGTATGGCACCCCAGCCCAATCCCATGCCATTCAAGAAAGAAAATCGAGACGGCACGTGCAGTTGCCTGGTAGAAAAACAGCTTTTCTACCAGGCAACTAGAACCCAGTTATCTGGTAGCTGTGATGCTTGGCCGAACAATGCAAACAAAGAAATTGTTAGCTATCTGGGCCAGCAGCCTCTGAAAAGCATTCATTTAAGGATTAGCAGGAAAATAAGAATAAAGTGTTGGTTTCAAACTTTTGGACATAAAAGGAATAGAATACTAACTCCAGACGACTACTACTTATTTCAACCAGCAACAAAATTCATCACTGTCATTGCTGGTTGAAGGAAGCAGTCCACTGTAGTTTCTTTCCATTCTTTGTGTTGGAAAGTTTTTGTATAATCTACTGATATGGCCATACATCCTTCGACAGTAAAACAAATTTTTTTGAAAATGCTGTAAACAAATGCCTCCACAGCACACTTCCAGCTTGTCGGAGTAATGAACCACGTCTCTGCAAACTGTGGTGTTCTCAATACAATGCTAGTATCAAGCTTAATACTTTGCGACAATGCTCTCGTGTTAAGCTTTTCCTTGTTGCACCAGTACACGCGGAGAAGCACTCGTGCTCTCGCTGTAAGTTTTCCCACATCGCACCGGTGCATGTGAAAAGCACCAGCTCTTTTTTGGTAACCTTCTCCATGCTGCGGAGAAAAGCCAGTGCTCTCGCAGTTAGCTTTCGTACGTTGCTCTGGTGCACGCAGAGAAGCACCGGGCATTATTTGTGGAGTGATTAGAAAGGAAAAAAGGGGCCCATGTGCACTAGCTATTGTTGGGGCAGGATTGATATCAAATGCAGTGTGTTGATGTAACTACTAAGGTATAAGACAAATTGGCACCCCCCCAAATGTAAGTAAACAACATCAAACTCGATTTGCAATGCAGAACAGTTTATTCACATTATAACACAAAATTCCGATTCCCTCGAAGCACTTCAGACTCGGAAAGAATCATGGGACTGTGCAGCGCCTAGTTGTTGGTTTCTTCAGAGCCAATTTACACAAGTAGCAACTTGCTCAGTTTTCAAGGGGCCTTGTTTTTGGAGCCTTCTTGTTACCAGATGTGAGGCCCACAAACTTTTTGCTATAATTTCCCCAGTCTCTTAAAAAGACTATGTCGTCAGATTAACAAAACTTTGCTGGAAAAGTCGGAGAATTCTGAAGAGACAACATGGCGCGGTCAATGGGGCACCCTTGATGGTCCAGCCGTCCCACGAGCGGGTCCCTGGCATTGCCTCCTTGTGGTCCTGCTGGATCTTGGCCCTGGCCATCTTCTCCAGGATGCTCCATACTTGCTGGCCCATGAACCCAGCGAGGACCTGCACACGGTACTTGACATTAGCACCAAAGCTGATTGTCAACTGCAGTCACCTCACTCGTTCAAATTGTTAAAGATGTTGCCTTGAAGATTTCACAGAAAAGGTGCTGCGCCTTTAGCTTTACATACAAGGCACCTATGCCAAAATGTCTAACTGGGACCGGTTGGCATCTCGACTGGTTACAACTGGAACTAACTGGTCCCAAGTTGGAATTGGCTGTTATCAATAGGAGTGGAACTGGGACTAGCTGAGGGGTCAACTGGCTTGACTATGCCCAGATGGGGAACGGGTAGGGGTAACTGGGACCAGTTAAGGCGTTAACTGGTTGGAGGGATTCCCAGGGGAAGTTTCAATTGTTTTCCCATTCCCTGTTAGGGTTCACATGCCGTGTCCATTTCGACAAGATGGGGGTGTATTGATCTTTGCTAGTGAAGGAAAAAAACTTAAATATATAGATTTACAGAAATGGATAAACCTTTAATTACTAGGTATACATTTATGTATTTAAAAAAATATGTCAAATTTTAATGTACATATCCTTTTATAAATTGCAATATAATTAGTGGCATAAAAAATATTTACTTAAATCAACATTTATGTACATGTATAAAATGTATTAAACATTGAACCAAAGACCTACTCCCTTTTTTTTTTAAATCGGACCCAGCAGGCCGTTGTGACACGCATGCGGATTAGTTTTGCGCGTTGTCGACAGATGGCACATGTGACGCAGTGAAAAATCACCAATCATGATTTTTAATGATGATGAAGTTGAGAGGCTGAAGGTACAGAATATTACAGTTGAGAAAGCTAGTAAATACAAGTACCTAGGAGTATGGATATGTGATGGTGCAGAATATCTCAGTGAGCATGAAAAGTATATAATAGGTAAGGGCAACAGAAATGCAGCTGTAATGAAAAATAGAGCACTTTGAAATTACAACAGGTATGAGGTGGTGAGAGAGATTTGGAAAGGGGTCATGGTGCCTGGCTTGACTTTTGGAAATGCAGTGCTATGCGTGAAATCCGAAGTGCATGCGAGACTAGAAATAAAACAGTGCAGAGTAGGAGGCTGGCTTTGGGGACACATTGCAAAACACCAAACCAGGGAGCTAGTACAAGGAGACATGGGATGGGCGTCATTTGAGAGCAGGGAAGCGGTGAGCAAGATAGAATTTGAGGATTGGTTGAGGCAAATGGATGGGTGGCAATGGGCACAAAAGGTTTTCAGCTATTTATACATGAGGAGTATAGATGCAAACTGGAGACAGTGCACTAGGGAGTTAGGAGGACAGTTTTTAAGGCTATAGTGGACTTAGGAAGAGCAGGTGTCAGTTAAGGCCACAGAAAGAGATTGGAGGCTAGAGAGAATGCAGACAAAGACGGCTCTGGAAAACTATAAATTAAACAAAACAGTTATTGCCAAAGAAAGCATTTATGACCATTCTAGGGGAAGCTCATTGTTGTTTGAGGCGAGGACGGGTGTACTGCAAACCAGAACACACAGAGCGAAGTACCAGGAAATGGATACAGTGTGCACTGCTTGTGGAGAGGAGGACGAGACGGCTGAGCTCTTGATACGAAGAGAACATAGATTTAATAAAGTCATTGGGTTTTAGAAACAGCGAAGGAACAGTGGATTTCAAGACAGTAGAGATTACCAAGTAAATATTAAGTGAATGGTGGCAGAAGGCGAGAGAAAACTAGGTATTTTCTTATTAACTGATGGCAAGGGTGTTTTATAGCCTCACTTTCTTTGCAGTGTGGAGTGAATATAGCTTTCACCTTTAAATATTCTAAGCTTAAATGGTAAAACAGAATGGCTAGGTGGCGTAAGCTACCGCCCGATCCAAAGGGCTCAGCCGGATTCATCCATCCGTCCATCCAGTGGTCGGTAGAGAAGGGAAACCATCGCCAAAGTTGGTGTATTGATAAACGTGTCGTTATGAAAATGTCAAAACCATATCTGCGCTTCTTGCGACCCAACGGTGAACTTCGAGGGCAGAAAGATGCAGTTCAACGACCGGAGGGCAGCCAGGGAGAAACCAGACGGAAGAGAAAACAGCCGCGGAGAGCACAATGGTAAAAATGGCGGAAAGTCTACCGGAACTGGCAGCTGTTGTGACACAAGCAATTTGAATTGTTTGATTGTAAGGTGGGAGCGCAACCGCATCCTATCAGGACTTCACCTGCGCAACGCGGAAACACGGGTGAGCACCTTTCTTCACGCGATGGAGAGAAGCTAGGGACGTCGTCACGGATGCTGACAGACGCCAGCGGCTAATCTTTCACCTCGCACAAATACTCGCTCTGAAAGGGCGATTCAATCGTCGCAATTAGCTAACGAGGCAACTGAAGCGGTCCTTAGAGCTACGCTGTGCTTCCTTCAATCCGGAAACGTGAACGTCACCGAACCTATTTATTTTCATTCTCGGTTTTTGACAATAAAGACTGGTCAACCTTCCAAGTTGTGCCGTGTTTCGTTGCTGGAGTTGGCACCGTTCTGTCAACCAGTTGAATCCAACCAGTAATTTAGCTCGCCACGTGCGCAGGTCAATTTTCAGTTCCCCTTTTTACGGTGAGCCTTGCAATCGTAGCCGCCCTATATTCGCGCTCTTTAGTGCAGCGACTTAACGCACGTGTGCATACCTTGTTGCCGATCCGGTTTGGGTGGACGCCGTCGTGGTGGATCCACTGGTGCCACTCGTCAGCTAGCCCGTCAAGGAACGTGAACCCTTCCCTGCGACACAACTCTCGCAGCAGCGAGTTCACCTCTCGGTAACGGTCATTCGAAGCCTCGATCTCTGCAGCGTGACTACGCTGCCATTCCAATGAGCAGAACCTATTCTCCCGTCTCGGAAGAACGGCAGAAAAGGCGATCTGCATCATTGGATTGCGTTCACAGATCTGGGCAGCTAGACGACGATATTTGTCGATGTACACGCTGGCACTAATATGGGAATTATTAGTGCCAACGTGTAGGATGACAACATCAAAATCGGGTAGCTTCTCAGACACCTGGGAAAACAAGTGCTCGATTCTAATACCACTAAACGGCGCAACCTCAACAGCCAACCGACTATTCAATGGCAAGTACTTCACCATCGAATCGCCGGCTACCAAAACTCGAGGCACGTTGGGGGTGCGATCAAAGCTAAAATACAAAGAGTAGCACTAGATACGGAAAAATGTATTGCTAAAAAGAACAAGACAATGCTAAACAAAACGCTTCAAAGAGTGCGAAAAATCAGTCAAAATAGCTTGCGTGACCGGAGCCGACAGCAGCGCGGCCAGGACCCGACCACAGAAGACTGCAGTCTACAGCCAGGGTTGCCAGGTGTTTGAACTCCAACCCATCCAACCCGCCAAACGTCTACGAGATATAGCCAAAAATAGCCAAATGTCGATCCAGAAAAATAGCCCAAAAATAGCCAAAAAAAAAACAACAACAAACAAACTTATCATTTGAAACGTTTATATTGAGCAGAAAGGACACATAATACATTTTTATCCCCCAAATGCCCCAGAAATGGCGACCCTTGCACGTTCGGCGAACTTCCTGAAACGCTCGTACAAGCGCATGACAACATACCTTCCACTGTATTGGGACGCTACTATCGGGGCATGATGACCAGGATGACGTCACGGGAGAACTAGGCAGAATTAAACCCAAAGTGTAGGTGCAAGCCAATCAACAGACAACCTAAAGAATGCGCAGAACAGGTGCTGTTAAGGCCGCAAGGAATCGCGCCGTCACTTGTTGAGATGAAGGAATAACAACACATGCTTGCATTTGGACAAAATTTGGAGGTAAACAATTGCACAAGGCGCGCAAAAAGAAGACGATTTTGTTTGCTGTCGTATACTTATCAGGGTTAAGGGACTGAAGCGCCCCCCAAGAGAAAGAGGACATGAAAGCCTGGTGCCAGGAGGCATTAGACTTCCTCCGGCAGTGACGGACACCTCCTTTTCGGACTGCCACGTACCATCCCATATGACCTTTGTGTTAAACATTAATTACCGTTAATGTCCTTGTTACTGTTGTGTTAAGTTCCTGTTACACTGCGGCACCACAAGCCTCAGGTACACGCCAATGGACTTTCTGTGGTGCTGCGACCCTCCATGGTCCAATAAAGACTATCTATCTACTCTAAAAAACACATTTGAACCTATAAGCCAAAGTGCTTTCAGGCATTTTGGTTCCAGCACAGGTCAGAAATTGCCCAATGCACAGGTCAGAAATAGCCCAATGCACAGGTCAGAAATAGCCCAATACTAGCCAAATAGCCAACTACCATTTTCTCCCGCCAACTGCAAATAAAACTAGCCCAATTTGGCTATTTATAGCCCAACCTGGCAACCCTGTCTACAGCGGCAGACGCACATGGTCGGCCACATGTCATAACAAAGGCAACATCCGGGGCCGGGGATGATACGTTACTTCCGGCGTCGAAGGAACGATTTCCACACAGCCGTCTTTCCTCCGACGCGACTACGTCACTTCCGGCGTCGGAGGAACGATTTGCACACTAGAGCACTAGTCTATGGCCACAGCGGGAGCTAAGCTAACATTGAAAATTGAGAAGGACTGTTTTCTGTGCTCCATTGCCCCTCAGTGTGAAAAGAAGCATGGCAGGTCACAATATATAGAAGCAGCATTCGTAAAAAAAATGTCTTAATTGTACACCGAAAGTTAGCTTACTCCTCAATTTCACCCAATTTGCTCTCTCTTTTATGTAGGGTTTCCCGTGGGATATTATATGGTAGGAACTTCAGGGATGAGATGGTTGTTTACTTGCAACCTGATTTCGGGAGGGGTCGTGGCCACTCTGCTGGGGCGCAGTAGGAGGAGTTCGGACTTTTGTGGAGAGCAAGATAAGTTGGCCGCTCCCACGTGTACTGCTATGATGTCCACGGCGGATTGTAGCGTGGCCTCAATGTGTCCATCGCTGCCACCTCCCATCCACAGCGTAATGTCGTCTGCGTAGAGACTATATTGAAGTCCCGGAAGGGTGTTAAGTTTAGCCGGAAGGGGTAAAAGGGCTAAGTTGAAAAGGAAGGGGGAAAGTACGGAGCCTTGGGGGGTACCGTAGCTTCCCAGTTGTATGGGATCGGAGGTGAGGGACCCCAGTGTAATGGTTGCCTGCCTGTCAGTTAAGAAAGCCTTGATGTACCCGTACATGCGGGGGCCTGGGTTAATGGCGGCTAGGTTAGTAAGGATTGCCTCGTGCGAGACATTGTCAAAAGCCTTGGTGAGGTCGAGGCCTAGGATGGCTCGGGTGTCGCGAGAGCTAGTGGGTTGTAGGATTTGATGCTTAAGCTGTAGCATCACATCCTGGACTGAGAGGCCGGCTCGAAAGCCCACCATCTGCGGAGGGAGGAGATGCTTGTCCTCCACGAACGCCACGAGGCGATTCAGGGTGACGTGCTCCATCACCTTCCCGGCGCAAGACGTGAGCGAGATCGGCCGGAGGTTTTCTAAGGCGAGGGTCTTACCCGGCTTTGGGATAAAGATAATTTTTGCGGTTTTCCAGGCGGGGGGAAGATTGCCTGTTTTCCAGCATTCATTCATGTATCTTGTGAGGGCTTCTATGGATGGGTCATCCAGGTTGCGAAGGGCCTTGTTAGTGATTTGGTCGGGGCCGGGCGTCGAGTTGGTATGAAGCTGAAGCAGAGCCGCACGAACCTCGGGGACCGTAATGTCCGAATCCAGGAGGGGGTTACTGGACCCTGCATACGGGGGCAAGGAAGTAGTCCGGGGGACGCCTACGTATCGCGATTGGAGTTCCTGGAGGAGTTCGTCCTCAGTCCCCGGCCATTGGTGCAGGAAAGTATTAAGTCGATGTTGCTGCTCGTGCTTGCTTGAGGTTGGATCAAGGAGGTGACGAAGCAGAAGCCATGTGCGCTTAAGCCCCAATTGCCCTTGCATCTTGTCGCATATCTGGCCCCATTGTTGGGTTAGTAACTTCAGAGAATATTCTTCAATTTCTCTATCTAAGTAGGCTATTTTGCGGCGTAACTTGCGGTTGTGCCGCTGAGTTTTCCATCGCTTATGTAGGCTGGACCTCGCCTCCCAGAGACGAAGGAGGCGGGCGTCTATTGCCTCTAAGTGGGCTTCGTCTGGGATGTCCGTGGTGTTCAGTTGAATGTCTGTTAGGAGAGTGGAGGCCCACTCTTCTAGGTTGGTAATGGTTTCGGTTGCAGATGCCTCTCTACTGGCCCTAAAGTCGTCCCATTTAGTAATGCGGAGGCGGTTGCGACGGGATTTTCCAAGGCACCCCCCTACCGTGGTTTCAAGTATGTAGTGGTCACTACCTAGCGGTTCTCCGAGATTTCGCCAGTTTAAGAGGGCTGTGTTGTGTGTGAACGTTAGGTCCGGTGTCGTGTCAACCGTTACGCTGGTACCTATTCGTGTTTGCTGGAGGGGGTCCGTTACCAGGGTGATACGGTGTTGTTGCGCTTGGGTCCATATATCCCGACCCTTGGGAGTGCATGTCCTGTAACCCCATGCCGTGTGGGAGGCATTGAAGTCTCCCACTATGACCAGGCCGTGAGGACCCGCCTCCCTTAGGGCATGCGAAAAGAGAACGCCAAATCTGTGTTTGCGAGCCGACGGGGGGCTGTATACGTTTAGTATATAGAGACGGGGGTCGCCTTTCCGCTGCGGAAGGATCTCCAGGAAGTCGTGCTCGACGTCAACTCCGCCAAGGCTTTTGTATGAAGCGGTTAGGTGTCTACGTGTGAGGATGGCGGTATTGGGTTCCTTATTATCAGGATTTTGGAAAGTTCTATAGCCGGCAAGTTTGACCAGGCCGCGGGTTTCCTGAATCGCTATGATATCGGGGGGTGTTTCGAGGGATTGTATGTAATGTTGGAGATTGCCACGTTTCCGTCGAAAGCTGCGGCAGTTCCATTGCCAGATAGTGGTTTGGTGTCTACTGAGGCGTGGCGGGTGGGGGAGAGGTAAAGCCATACTCAGGGATGCACTGTTGGAGGTAGGGTGTGGATAGTGGGGGTGGTAGAGGATTGGAGGACCCTGCCTGGGGTGAGAGGTTGGTGAGTTGGTCCATTTGACCGGTGAGTTGGGCCAATTCGGAGGAGCGCTTTGAAACAATGCCTTCGATTGCCGTAAAACGGCTGTGAACGTTTTGCTCTAAGGTTTGCAGTCTGGCACTGAAAGTGCGAGACATTTCGGTCATTGACTCTGAGAGTCGGCGTAATTCGTCTACGATTTGGACGTCATTAGTATCGATTGCTCTACGCTTGGTAGGCTGGGCGGCGCTATCAGGCGAGGGTATGGCGACTGCAACGGGTTGTGGGAGAGGGACAGGAGTGGGTGCTGGAGGGGTAACCTCTTTCTGTTTAATTAGGGTTCGTAATTCAGTATTTTCCTTCTGAACGGCAGTGATTAATTTCGTGAGGGTTTGGACCTCTCGCCGTAGAGCCGCGAGCTCGTTGTCTCTGGCATCACCACCCGTGGAACCGGAGGCCACATTAGCCCAGCTCACCTGTTTGGTGGCCGCTGGTTGTCGGGGCGGCTCGTCTTGCGGGACCTGGCGCGGTTTGGACCTGGATCTGGATCGTGGTCGGGGTCTGGAGTGAGTACGGGACCGGGATCGAAATCCGGGCTCGGAGGGTACTGATTTGCGTTCCCTGGACCTGCCACGGGGGGGCGGTGGGGTTGAACTTTTGCCGAAATCGCCGACCGGGCGTTGTGCCTGACGGCGGCGAATGGCAGGGTGTTCTTGAAAGCGTTTCTTGCACCTCGGGGAACCCGTGGGGTGGGGTCCTCGGCATACGGCGCATTTCACTTCACAGTCGTGGTCAGTGGGTGGATTGTCGATTCCGCAGCGTGGGCACTTATTGGCTCTCGGTGAGGGGCACACATCTGCCCTATGCCCGATCTTCCAGCAGATATTGCAGGCCTCCGTCTTGTGTTTGAATAGTACGCAGCGGTAGGGGGCCCCGTGGTAGCTGACCCAGTGGGGCACCTCCGGGCTGTCGAAGACTATTAGCACGGAGTTAGTTTTTCCCATCCGGCGGGCAAGGAGAATAGCCGGGTCGTGATTGTAGTCGATTAGGTATCGGCTGATGTTGTCCGGTGTATCGTATTCTGGAACATCAAAGATGATTCCGCGTGAGGTGTTGGCAGGATCTGCTACGTATGTGGCCAGGGGATAGTTCTCCTCTCCGATGCGTAAGGTGTGAAGGTTGAAGTACGTGCGCGCCCGCTCTTCGGAGGGGGTGCTGATTAGTATAGAGTTTTGAGTAGCGTTGATTCGGATTTGGTCGGCGCGTGCGGCGTCGTAGTTGGTCTGGGCAGCGTTGAAGATAAGGTCTTGCAGCTTGCCTGTGCTCATGGAGCTTAGGTTGAGGCCACCACGTGGACGAATGACGATCTTGTAGTCGTCGTCAGGTAGTCTTGGGAGCTGCGGCGGGCGCGGCTTGGAGCCAGGCCTTGGCGAGCTGCGGGAAGCCAGACGCTCGGCTGGGTTCGATGGCTTCGGTGAGGGTACTTTCGGCTGTCGAGCCTTCTTTCTGGCCGTATGGACTGGGATCCAGTCCGCATTGAGGTCCTCCGGGGCGATGACTTCTCCCTCGACGACGACCTCGATGTTGGGGCAAAGGGCTGGCAGATATTCGCCGCTCGTTGAACGAGACGCCGATCTCTCCGCGGACGGGCGGCGGCGGGCCGACGGATCGGGGCGGTGTTTCTGTCTACAAAGAAGCTGGTTGCGATCTTTCAATTCTTATAACCGTTTACACTGAAGAAAACTGATGATGCTGTCCGAGCAGAAGCTTGATCCGTTTGAGCATGGTATTATGCTTGAACCACTGGAAGGGGACGGCTTAAAACTAGCCTGTTGGAATATCCGGCAAAACTGGGACTTTCGATTTGGATCGTCATTATAGGTGGATCAGATATTAGCCTTGGTGAGGGCGTCGAGAACGAGAGCTTTCTCGAACAAAATACGACGGGGCAAGTTAGCTGACGTAGGTAAACGTGAAACATGATGATATTGCCCAAGCCTCGGGTAAAGTCACTATGTTTAGCTTTCTCTGATGCTTATTGGGCAGTCAGAGGTTTCTGCAGGAAGAGTTTTGTCGACAAATGTTAAATTTTTCACCCGCAAACGGATGGTGATAGATATCTCGGGGGCCGCTCTTACGTTTGTTCTGAGCATTCCTTTACACACTGGTATATTTCAGCGTTTGTACGGCAACAGAGCGATTTAAAACCTGCAAATAAACCACGGGTTGTCAATTGCTCCCTTCGGGAAATAGCAGACGCTCACAATTCAAGCTCGCGTTTGATTTGGTTGCCCGCGGGACGCGATTTCTATCAGAAAATCTGCTTTTTTTCGTTCGGTTCCGCGACACATCGTAGCAGACGAACCCTCGTCGTCTGCTCCCGCTCCTCGCCGGCCCCACCGGAGCGAGGCATGACGGGATTGCATTTTGGCGCACTCCCGATTTTCTCGGTGCAGCGAGTGCATGCACGCGTGGGGTGTCAGCGCTGAAACGAACTCGGAAAGTGCAACCACTCGTGGAGTGCCGGCCGAAACGAACCCGTTCCACGCTGCGAGTGGGCACGCGTGGGCACGAGTGCCGTGAAACGAACTCGCTATAAGCATCCCAAATAATAAGCAATACACCTGCTATGAATTGCTACTGTTTGTACAGAGCGCGACACTGTTAGCGCGAACAAGCGATCGCCGGTTTTTTCAGTTTTTCTCTTTTAAACCAAGGGATGTCATCCAAGGTATTAGTGCTATGGAAAGAGCCCATTTAGCTCTATAATGTAACCGATAAAATTTCGTGCTCGCTAATATTATTTAGAAGTAAAATGCGAAAATGCGCCGATGTCGTGTTCGCCCTAACAGTGTCGCGATGTGTACGTTTAACTTCTGCAAACCCAAAGGCACGTAATGCGTGAAGCGCTTCTCAGAGAGCGATTTTATATTTGTAAACAATTCTTAATAAAAATAGAATATAAAATATGAATAAATTGCCTGAATTTGCACGTCCATGACCGAGAATTTAACAATTTATGAAATTTTCTGCTTTTCTTTCGAGCAGAAATCGCAATCTGACAAACTTCTTTGCAACGTATTCAATGCGGGAGGAGTTAACAGTTTTAGACAAGCATTTGCTCGTCAGCAACTGTCGAGTCACACTTGGATAGAAGCGTTGGTGTTGGCAAGTTCAATGTAGCCAAAACAAGTGTGCGGCGCTTTGCAGCACGACTATGCGTGCGTGAACAGCTAAGACAGCACGTCATTTACTCGGGGGATGCAAACCCTTTTGCTACAGCAACCCCCCACAGATAGATAAAAAAAAAAAAAAAAAAAAAAAAAAAAAAAAAAAAAAAAAAAAAACTCGAGGTACACTTAAGCATTTCTTACAAGTTGTGAATGCAAAAGCATGCAAGCCGCTCGTCCACTCCCTTTTTCGTCTGCTGTTGTAAAATAAAAAGAAGAAAACGTGGAGATGCCCGAGCCGGGAAGAGGGAAGGAAGAGCGACTTCGAAGACGAGCAGAAACCGAGGCACCAGCCCCTTTCCGGGAAACCGGGGAGAGGGACGGAGAGCCGCGGGGAGAGCCTGGGAGAGCGCGCCCCACCGTGGGGTCATAAACGACGAGCCCCTCTTGGAACGACGCTTGGTGCGGGCGACTTCGCCCCTTCTTGTTGGAACGACAGTCGAAGGAGGACGTGCCTTCTCTAACTTTGCTTAAATTAGTTTTCAATATCAATAAACCATGTTCTGTTATTCTAAAAACCAACGAGTCCTTTCCCTAATTCCACACTGTTAAAAAGTTGGTGCCGAAACCCGGGATGAAGGAAATTAGGACATGACTTCAACGCAGAACATCCAACGACAGAAAAGTGAAAACAACGAACGAGAAGAAGGTAGGAGCCATCTTGGATAGCCATCTTGGATTCTCCAACGGCTCAGGCAACGTTACTAAAACACTCAGTTGGGAAACTCCCATAGAGACAGCCCTAAAAATATGGCCCCAATCCAACCCCCGGTCACAGTCCCAGTTTCGCGGCGCTGACATTAGCGTCGCCACCATCAGCGGCGCTGTGCATAGCGTCGCCACCGGCAGCAGCGCTTAGGTGGTGGGAGGCTCTCATTAATACAAAAATACAAATATAAAACTTTGTCCGCTAACAGTAATTTCAACAAAACGTCTTCACCGCACCATGAAAATAAAATGCAATTTATTTTATATATTTCTTTCTGTTCGTTCTGTTTTCGGTCTAAAACCAAAACTCTAAACCGACCCGCTGGCCTCGCCGGTGCCCTGGAAGGCGCCGCTGCCCCCCCCCCCCCCCCCCCCCCTTCGCTCTACCCTCGCCCAAATTTGAAACTTCGTAACGGCGGACGGCGGCGTCGCGTGGTTTTGTTCACAGTGGAATCGAATCATAACCAGTGGTCCCACTCAAGGCCACTTCCGGTAATCGCGCATACACAGCGCTCCTCAAGCCGGATGGCGACAACTGAAGTTGTCAAACAAAAACAAACAAAAAAACAGCGTCAAAAAAAATCGCAATTGACTAAATTGAGTGCGTTAATGTTATTATTTTTAGAAATAGAAAACATAATAAGCTAGGTAATAATGATAAACGAACATGGAAAGAAAAAATCGAGCAGTTACCGTTAGCTTCAAAAAGTTCATTGCCCTAACCGAAGCCATGTCGCCGGTCGCGTTGTCGGCGTTGTCGGTGTTGCTGTTCTGCGAATTTCTCTTTCCTAGTACATTTCCCTTTCGGTTGGATCCTCGCTTGTCGTTTTAGTGTCACGTGAGTTACCGAATCGCGCTATGAATGTGTTCTAAATGGGCCTGCTCAGGCAAGAAGCCAAAAAGCCGGGGACTCACTTCGCCGTTCGAGATTCCGGGATTCCGCTTCAAGTTCGTTGCTGGTGAGTGCAAACATTTTAAAGTGCTCGTGCTGTCCTTCGCGTCAGGCCATGGCACGATCGTCTTTTCTCCAACGCAGTGTATGTGACTCGATTAATTTCTTAGTCGTATGTACATCGGACGTGACTTGTAAAACGGTCGAACGTAATGAATTGCTTGTTCACGCGCAACCTCCACGTATCGAAACTTTCACACCACTTTACTGGAAAAATATAAATATAGTAGCAAATGACGCGGATCAGGACCGAACCTTGGATTTGCTAATCTGTAAAATCATAAAAGAGAAGTTGCCATCATAGCATAAGATATCTAAAAAAAAACAAAAAACACGCAACATTATAAAAAGTGAATTTACCACTTGTTATATTGCATTTGGCTAAGCAAGTTGACTGGGTACATTGAACATAATTCTGAATTAACTAGTCAGATGGATGTCTCTTAAAGGGAATTAACGGGAAGGCACCTCTAAAAAGTGTTGCTCAAACATACCAATTTCCTGGACTCACACCTGTCTTCTCTCTCTCGTCAGGATACCCTGTGGGTATGGCAGCATCTGGCACCTGTCGTCCAGCATGCGTCGAGACCCCTCCTCCCCCCTGTCAAGCTCCAGACATTACTTATCTCCGCTTGGCACGTCATGCAGTAAGACCCACAGTACTTATCTAATTTAGAAGTATAAGCAGGGACAGATCCAAGGGGGAGATCCAAGGGGGGGCGACGGGGGCGACCCCCCCCCCCCCCCTCCCCCCATCTCGGAGGGCAATTTGACATGGCTGGACCCCCCGGTGCACACGAAAGAAGGGGAGAATAGCATTCTTACAAACTTTCTGCCCCCCCCCCCCCCCCAAACGGAGTTCTGGATCTGCCCCTGAGTATAAGGTGTGTCTCGCTTTGTCCATTCACTGTATACTGTTACTTTCTTGTTCCAGTACGATGGTTCCTCGGAGAATCACAGAGAATACCACGAGGGCGACAAACGTGTGGAGGCAAGCTGCAAGGGCCGGACACCAGAGACAAGGACCATCAGTAACCAGGGGGATGAAGTGAGGAAACTCAAGAGGCAGCTCATCATCTGGGCCACAAGAAGAAAATCGGAGACCGTACGCTGGGAAATTTGTCGACCCTCATCCTTGGGTGGCATGAGCATTTTCTGGTCATATTCATACGTGAGGTGAACTGTTACTGGAACTAGGTTGACTCATCCTTCTGCAGCTTACAGGGCATTACCAAAGCTACGGCACCAACGAGACAATTGGAACATTTGGCTGAGGGACGGGACAACATATTGTGGGAGTATACACCTCCTACGGAGAGCTCTCACAAAACTTGCTTCTTTGCTCTGATTAGCTCCAAAGGGCGGCAGTGCTTTTCTTTGTAAAATTAGGCTGAAACAGATTATAGCTGTAATAGGGCCACCGAAATTGACATTGCGGCATAACATTCCTTATGAGAGTTCTGGCATCTATTCTATGATCTCTTATGCAATTATGAATGTCGCAGCCACAAGTGGTCACTTGACAATAATCTGCAACTCGTCATATAACAAACTGTGTAAATGGTTGGGTAAGTGCAGTAAAGGTAGTTCTGCATATCTGGGGAAAAACAGTGGCTAGGAGGGCTCTAGCTCTTACTAAAGTGGCGAAGCGGGCGAGTTGGTTCATGATATAAAATTTAAAAGCGCTAAATGTTCAGTTGAGAGTAAGCGCTCGTCCTGTTCGCCTTCCTTTTTGTCCTCGTCTTTGTTAGCGCTTTTAAATTTTATCTCTAGCTCCTCCTCATCACGATCTGTCTTAGGGATCAGCACGACAACCACAGCTGGTTGTCGTGCCAGTAGACCTGGTTCTGAAGTCACCGGAAGAAAACAATAACCGGTTGCTCCCATCATGTTGTGTTAGCCAGTGGTCAAGAACAAGATTTTTTCTTTTGAGCTTGGACAAAGTGTTCTTCAATTAGTTTTCTCAAAGCCCCTTTGAC